CCAAAAGCGTATTTGCTAACGGAGTTAAAAACTTACATAGGTCGTTCGTTCACAGTCCATGGGCCTAACTATGTAAGTTAGCATCTGTGATTTCGGGAAACGCACCCCTGGTCTGGAGTCTGAAAATGACGGCTGCAGACTCTGGTTTGATTCATAATGGTGAAATTGTTGTGTCATATCTCAACCATCCACCTGTCTATGGGATATGTGAGGAAACTAAGGAAAGAACTGAACGAAGCCGAAGCTGTACATAGCGGCACACAGCAATAGTGTTCTGAAGTGCTGTCCTCGCGTCTTTGAAAAAAAGTTTCGCTCGTTTAGAGGTTATGACAAGAAGTAAACATTGACACACAAATTGGAATAAAATACACAAAGAAACTAAATAAAATGTATTGAAAATTAATGCAGTTTAGGCCATTTTAGATGAAATTATGTCTTGCATTCCTACATTAGCACAGGACTTAACGTTTGCCGTGCATAATGCCCATTGAATATTCTGGACTGTTTCTTGTTTCATTTGTTTATGCATGTCTCACGGCCACGTGTTCTAAATTGGCCAATCGGTATTTTGCGTTCAGATCTGAATGCAGATACTCAAATCTTCAAAGGATCATTGCAGGCCCGCTTTTGCCTCTCTTGCCCCAATCCAGCCGTAAGCCTGTTGGCAGTCTACTTCGTTAGTAAAAGAGTGCGGGTAATAGACTGGCCTGCCTGCAGTCCAGACCTGTCTCCCATTGAAAATGTGTGGCGCGCTGCCTGGTTTGCTCACTCCGTTAAGGCGCCACATTTGCGGAGCAGTAGTGACTACCACGGCGCGGGTTCGATCCCCAGTTGCACCAACTGGCAGTGGTCAGCAGCTTTTTCAGAGCAGCGCACGACTGGCTAAAAGCGCTGCAGGGATGCAAATTGGGAAGGGACGGCCAGGAAGGGATATGAAAAATGGTTGCTTTGTTCGTTGCGCAATTGCCTCCTGTTGGCCAGCCGGGTGCTTGTCAGTGAGATTCCAAGCTTGCTCATGTTCTGGTATCCTCCGCCTTCATTCTGAACTTGCAAAAGTTTCGAACAATGTGTGTAAAGATGCAGGGGCGACAGGTTCGTGCTTCGGAGGAGAGCCACAAACTGTCTCTCTCTCCTGAGCTGGCAACAAGGGGTCGCACACGAGCAAGCCTTGCACATAGTTCTCAAATTGGGCATTCCAGATTCGGGTGGGATTGGAGATGCCAAATTTATATTAAAAAAAAAGAAAATGCGTGGCACATTATGAAGCGCAAAATATGACAATGGAGACCCTGGACTGTTGAGCAACTGCAGTCGTACATCAAGCAAGAATGAGAAAGAATTCCACCTACAAAACTTCTACAATTAGTGCCCTCAGTTCCCAAATGCTTATTGAGCGTTGTTAAAAGGAAAGGTGATGTAACACAGTGGTAAACGTGCCCCTGTCACAGCTTTTTTGGAACGTGTTGCAGGCATCAAATTCAAAATGAGTGAATATTTCCAAAAAAACTAAGTTCATCAGTTTGAACATAAATATCTTGTCTTTGTAGTGTACTCAATTGAATATAGGTCGAAAAGGATTTGCAAATCATTGTATTCTGTTTTTTTTTATTATTATTATTTTTTGGGAATTTTTCCTTTATTTGACAGTTATACAGTGTAGAGAGACAGGAAAGTTGGGGAGAAGAATGGGGGAAGACATGCAGCAAATGACCTGAGCCGGAGTTGAACCCAGGTCGCTGCAGGAAGGACACAGCCTTTATGGTATGCGCGCTTAGACCGATGAGCCACCGGGGCGCCCCTGTATTCTGTTTTTATTCACATTTTATTCGCTGCCTTCTTCTCTGAGCCCATGCTCATTTAAAAGGTACTGAGGCAAAGTGGAAAACTGCCCTTTAGTTTGACTAAACAACATGTAAAATTCTTTCTGGAAATCATGGATGTCACGTCCTCTGGGCTAAAGAGGAGCGGAGCCATCCGGCCTGAAATCAGCAAAAAATTCGAAAGCCAGCATCCATGACAGTATGGGGGTGCATTAGTACACATGGCATGAGTAACTTGTGCACCCGTGAAGACACTATTAATGGTGAAAGATATATACAGGTTTTGGTGCAACATTTACTGCCTTCAAATGCCTTTCTTAAGGGAAGTCCTCTCTCATTTCAGCAGCACCATGCCAAACACCATAATCTGCACGTATTTCAACAACATGGCTTTGTAGTAAAAGAGTCTGGTTGCTAGAGTGGTCTGCCTGCAGTCCTGACCTGTCAACCACTGACAATATTTGGCACATTATGAATGAAAAATATGACAAAGTAGCCAGCAAACTATTGAGCAGCTGGAATCCTGCATAAAGCTAGTATGGGAAAACATTTGAAGGGTTGATTTCCAGAAGTACGCAAGTCCGTTTTCGTCTTTTTGGAGAAACAAGATTTTAAGAATTTGGCAGCTTGTGGGGATTATGTTCATGTTACCTGTGTTAAGATGATGTAAATGTAATGAATATCAAAGCAGATGTCTTAAAACATTTTAGGAAACTTCTAGCCTCTATCTTGATTCTTGGCCCAGATATTTCAAACACCAGTCTGCAGACTTGAGTACTTTTATAAGCAAAATAACAAAAATTGAACTCTATTTAAAAAATTAACAACATTACATTTTATTATTTCAGAGTACTAAAGCAGAGCATCTTTTTGAAAACAAAACCCACCACTTTCTAGTCACAATGAACAGAAAATACAGTCATTGTAATGGCTGGTTAGAGCGGAGTTTCAGATGATGCGGCAGGCGAAGCTGCATCAAGAAGAGAGCCTGACGCAGCTGAAAGTGATTGAGCTAAATAAGGGCGGAAACAAGCTCGCGTTTCTGAATAAACGAAAGGCTTAATTGCCAGAAACAAAGCGAGCAACCAGATAGAAGAAGAAATCTCAATAAGAGAGAGAAAACTAAACAAGGCACCTAACAATAGTGCCAAATAACCTAAAGAAGCTAAGCTTTCCAGATACAAAGAATGTATATATAAATAGGCGAACCCCTGACTAGAAATATATCGAGCCGAAGTGAGCAAAGTCATATCAAACACTCCAGCGAAGGAGGCGTGGCGACTTCCGGCTTAAATAGACTCCGGGAAGGACCGCCCAGGAGTAATCAGCCAGCTGGGTAAAAAATCCGATGTGGAAAGAAAATGATGTCGTCAGGGACGAGAGTAACAAAGAAAGCAAAAAGCACATAGCAAACCATGACAGTTATACCAGTATACTGTAGTCATGGATGTCAAAAAGCTTCTTCAAATGAATGAATGGACGATATATACAGTGAAATGGAAGGTAAATGCAGCTGAACAAAGGTCACAATAAAAACCAGTCTCCATCAATTATGAATGGGCAGTACCACCATCCTAACATGTTTAAAGGTTTGGCTGACAGCACGTGTGCTTGTAGAAGTTTTAGACTGGACTTGATCACCGCCAGACATAGCTTCTTGGGGAATTTCCAGTTCGCTGCTCATTTTATATTGTGCTTGAATGCTTCTTGGCCAAAATTAGCTTATGTGGCTTATTCCTCATCAATGAAAGAATGGATTTGTGGTGTTCTCTGATTTTCAATGAATATGAACTTGAGCGCATAATGAAACAACCCCTTCATTTTGCATTCAAAATTTACAGCCGTTGGTCTCTTTAGTTCCCAAATGCTTACAGAGTGTTGATTGAAGAAGACTTGATGCAACACAGTAGTAAACATGCCTCTGTGCCAACTTCTCTGAAATTTGTCGCTGGCATCAAATTCGAAATGAGCATGTTTTCCAAAAAAAAAAACAATAAAATATCTCAGTTTCAACATCTGATATATTGTCTTTGTCCTATTTTCAAATAAATATGAAGTTCAAATGATTTGAAAATCATTGCATTCTGTTTTTATTTACATTTTACACAGCGTCCCAACTTTTTTGGAAATGGGGTTGCAATTTGAATTTGTACACATATCGCATACATTTGAGAGTGGTTAGTCTACAGATCCTATTTAAAGTACGATCAATAATGTCCCAGGCCATTCTAGTGATTAATTTGAAAAAATAAAATTAAATGAGTTTTAACCCCTTAAGCCCTACGCCCTGGTACCGGGGGGCGGTGGTGACGCATAATAAATACAGCATGTTTCCAAATCACAACATTGTCATGCGGCATATCCACATTTCGCGAAGAAACTCGGCCAAAAGCTCATGTAGACCGTTTTTACCTCAACCGAACACAATTCAAGCGCCAAGCAAGTAAATAAGCATGTAGCAAAACATAGGATAAAATCATATCAGCGCTGAAGCGCCAGAATTTCTCCTGAATTTGTGCTATTCATACAAACGATACCTCAAATGAAAGAGGAAAGTCCACAGAATCCAACGATATGAGCCCTGTCATTTTAAACCGACACCACACTGAAAGAAAAGCAGGCATGCACTTTACAGTCTACAGAGATGAGCAAAGAAATTTCTTACCTTTGATATATTTTAATAAAAAAACTGTTTGAGGGTAAATCCACGCTTGCCATTGTTAGCTGAATGTGTCCATGTTATAACGAAACTAGATCTGCGAGTCTCAAAGCGTGTTTTTCTTCTCGAGCGTTGCTTCAAAGATCTCAGCTCCTCAGCATTCAGCTTCCTCGCAATGTATTCTCCTCTCTGTGATCGGCTTGTGATGCTGTCAGTAAGACTATGCCAGTAGCCATTTGATTCTATGGCTTCTGACATTTCCAAAGAGCCCTAAAGCACCTTTATCGCACAAAGCTAGCTTGAGCAACAGCCTTGCGTTCCCAGTGCGTCAAACCGAGTCCATGGGCCATTCGAATGTACTTAAATAGCGCAACAATATAAACGCTTATTCAACTGTCCTTTCCAAAGTTGTTTTCTGACAGAAACACGTGTATACTGAGGGCAGAGCAGTACAAACGAGGTGAATGACTTGTTTTTTTGACTCATGCTTTATGTGGCCAATTTGAGCAAACCTATTGTCAAATGGTTTAGCCTAGTGGTTAAGGTGTAAGGCTACAACTCAGGTGACCGGGGTTTGAGTCCCTGAACAGGTACGCTTTTAGTAAGACAACAATAGCATTTTGCTTGTATAAATAATTGCTGAGGTTTTGATTCTTTTGACTTTTTTCCCCATTTTTTTTTTACCCTTTTTGTATTCATAATCTTATTAATTTGCTTTTTTTTTTTAAATACATCTGCTCCAGTGGAGCCAAACTTCATTTTCTTAGTATTTATTGTCTTTGAATGGGAAATTGTATAGGCTATAGGACTGACAGAAATAATGATTTAAAAAAAATTATAAATTCTAAAAATTAAAAACTGGTTGTATTTGGGTGGAAAGTACGCCTGTAGTGACATATAAGTGAAATTAGATGAGTTTTACAGTTTAATTTGGCACACAAGGTACCTGAATTGCCAATTTGGAGAGGCCACCTAGACATTCCTCTCTAATTTTGTTCTGATTTACTTGATTAGAATAAACTTTGGCACAGAAAATTGTGAGATTCTGTGCTGTAAATTTTTAGAGGTTTCAGACTGCAACTAATTAAGTTTACAAGGGATAGAAGTAAAATTTGTTTGGTGCAAAATGAGGTCTTTGATTTATACTGTGTTCCATCTTCATTTACTCAGACTCAGTGACATATACACTGATTTTTACACCATGGCAGAAAACCCAAATGGTTTTAACTTTATTATGATACCAAGATTATTCAAATGGACCAAATAGTTGCAGAGATATACTCATTTCATTTTTGGCTTGCCATTTTCGAAAAAGAGGCTCAGGGCTTAAGAGGTTAAAATATATAGAGAAAATTTTAATCAGTTGATAAATACAGCAGATAGAATTCTGATGTTTAAAGCAAGTGCACACCAGGTAAGATACCCTGATTTATAATATTTACATGATTGGCTATTTACAACGTTTAAATAAATTGTTGCTTCAGTCATCGAGCCAAGCACCCGCAATTTTGAAGCTTTTAGCCGCTTAACTTAGCCTGAAGTGTTTATTTTAGTGTTGTGTTTGTAAGAATAGCCCTTTGACTGTGTGTCCCTTCCGAGATCCCCTCCTGAGGGATTACTGGATCTATGAGGGCTCACTCACCATGCCACCCTGCAGTGAGAATGTCACATGGATCCTCTACCGCTACCCTCTGACTGTCTCCCAGCTCCAGGTAGGATATGAACTCAGACCAGCCCCCAGTGTGTCCCAATGACTCACAGTCCCCTCCTGGTCTGTTGCACCTGCTTTTAAGTACCTGAAATCATTACACTTCACTTTCAAGATAAGGTTACGGTCGTCCCTTTGAGTAATGCTGACCCAAATATCACCAATGAAATAAGCCACTGGATCCTTTTAAAATGGATCTTTGATGAAGATAAAAACTTGTGATCAATCAATGACTCTTGAGACTAAAGATAAAAACTAGGGTAATTGCTAAACCGCTTTGAATATTTGAGAAAGCTCATGAAGGCTAGTTTCAGGTTTATGAAAGTAGCACATGCTTCTCTTAATCACAATTCATTTTTAATAATGTATTATGAAGCAGAGTGCTCTGTGAGTAGACACTGTCGTTTTAGAAAACTGAAAATATTAAGTGTAGTGGCTTTAAAGCAATGTACTTTGCTGCCTCGGTTAAAAAATACTTCCAAATGCAAGTCAAAATAATGAAGAAGGGAAATAGAGCATTAAAAAGAAAGCTGGCCAATTGTAATTGTAAATGAGGGGGTAGATTTTTGCTGGTGAGAAAAACTTTGACCTTATGTTGACCTTCCTGGCGGAAAGTAGCAAGACTCTGGTGTTTTCTGGCCGTTGACACAGCTGTTATAAAGTAACAATGGGAGCCCAGGTGTTGCCAGTAATATGTGTCACTGTGAATAGCTTTCTCATGTGGCTTTCATTCTGGGGTACTGTGAGTCTCAATGTTAATAAATTGGCAACGCTTAGCCGACCGTCAGACCAAACTTGGTCATGGCCTTGGGCAACACTATTTGCTAGTTGTCAGTGGAAGAGGAATCGTTTCATGTAACCATGGTATTGAGGCAGTAAAACTCTTTTAGTGGGGCACAGCAGGATATCAAACAGAATGATTTCTAATTTCACCCTAGCAGTCAGAAAAAACCCTCACCTTTTTATTTGAAAAAGAAGTGTGGCTCAACCTGGTAATTACCAGGCAATTAATCAACACTCCCCGTCCTTTGGTGCATATTGGCTCATTATTTTGCATTGTGTTTAATTGGTTTGGCTAGCCTCTAATATTTAAAGAATGTCACTAAATTTGTATTCAATTGTATATTATCATTTTTATGAAGATATTATAATCAAGGTATTATAATTTTTAAAACATTTATTATTTTGCTATTATCCCATAATGTATCTCACATAGAAATAATAAATTACACGTGACACATTTTTGGGGATTTTCTTTAAGAAAAAAAAAGACAAACTGCTTGCAAACTTGGGGTTTGATTTTTGATGAAGCCCTACTCAATAGCATCAGCAAACTCAGCCCAAGTAAATGTAACTATTTTTCAGTGTGTCATGACATTATGGGAACACAGTTACATTTTAGGTATTAAGTCTTTTAATGTCTTTTGTACAACCATATAATATGCACAGTCATCACCAAGATTTTTCCATGACACATACTCATTAACAAGTGCATTCTTTTCTCTGCCATATACTGTACGCACACTTACACAACACTCAAACTGACCCACAGAGACCCACACACACATAGTCATGGTTATATGTACAGGGTTCTGCCCCGCCGACCAGCACTCGGAATCCACCGACCACCACTCAGTTCAGACAGTGCTTTTCTTGACCGGCACATTTTTTTCAAAGATGAGTTAAAATGAATGCATCCTGTGTTCAATAAAATCGCTAGAAACAAAACATAGGTAAAAGACTCCAAACATGCCCCCCCCCCTTGTTATTGTCAGAATAGCGAACTTTCTTTTTCCATCCATGCCCCGTCTGCATCATTGTCGTCATTGATATTGAAAAACCTGCCCAATAGTCAGGCCCGGATTAAGAGGGCAGGGGCCCCTGGGCACAAATTCTTGGAGGGCCCCCCACCCCCAATACACACACACACACGCGCACAAACAAGCACGCACACACACACACACACACACACACACACACACACCAGAGGTGTTCGGTACTTAAGTAGTTTTTTTGAGGATTTGTACTTTACTTGAGTTTCTTTTTTAAACCAGGACTTTTACTTGTACTCTACTTCATTTAAAAGATTAAAAGTATACTTTTACTTTGTTAATTTAACACTGGCCACTTTGTTACTCATTACAAATTAAAATATAAATGTAATTCATCATTTAAGGATTATTTGTACACCAAAGCAGGGTGGTGCGGGGACCCCAGAGCAGGCAGGGAGAGACAGTTGGGTGACGGTAGGACGTCAGTGCAGGAAAGGGCATGCACACCGTACAGCGACAGCTCCTCCAGTGGTTGAGGTGTCCAACCGATTCCGGCCCTTGCAGGAACTCGAATTGGCCCCTGACCCTGAGAGTGAGGGGACTGATGAGCAGCAGGGCACCCTGTTGGCCATACCCCTCAGAAAAGAGAGTTATTGATAGTGGGGGACTAAATACTTAGAGGAATAGACAGTTTAGTCTGTTCGCGCGACAAGGAGTCTCGTACGGTGTGTTGCCTGCCTGGTGCCCAGGTAGGAGACCTCCTGGAGCGTGCGGACAAGCTCCTGGCCAGAGCGGGGGTGGATCCAGTTGTCATGGTCCATGTTGGGACAAATGACATAGGTAAGGGTAGTTTTGAGGTTCTGCAAGGCAAATTTGTTGAATTAGCTGAAAAGCTTAGGAGCAGATCCTCCACGGTAGTGTTCTCCGGGATTCTATCGGTACCACGTGCAAGCAGAGGGAAGCAGAATTTTATTTGGAGGTTTAACATGTGGCTACGAACCTGGTGTAGGAAAGAGGGGTATAGGTTTATGGGGCACTGGCACTACTTCTGGGACGGGGGTGACCTGTTCAAGCCGGATGGGCTACACCTGAACCGGAGGGGTACCTTTGCACTGGGTCAGCGTATGTTGAGGGTAGCAGAGAGTTATTTAAACTAGGGACTTGGGGGGCAGGGAGGTTAGAGAGCGTTACACAGAGGGAAATGCAGACTGCCCTGATGGAAGCTGACAGCGTTACATGCACTATTGATGATATATTTTTAAAGCAAGAAAGCGTAGTGAGGTGCTTTGAGCAGCGGGCACATGGGAAATTGAAGGGGAAGAGCGTTCGTGATAACCCGAAATGTTTCTATCTAAATGCAAGAAACATTAAAAATAAATTTCGAGAACTTGAGGCTGTTATGATTAGTGAAGGCTATGACAAAGTTGGGATTACAGAGACATAGCTTAGTGAAGAGGATGGAGATGAATACAATGTAGAAGGTTATAAGCTCTTTAGGAAGAATAGATGCAATAGGCGAGGAGGGGGTGTAGCACTCTATGTGAACAAAACATAAATGTGCAGGAAATTCCTGAAATTGAACATTCCTTGCCCTGCGAAGATATCTGGGTCAGGCTCACTGGCAAACACGAGACTGGTTTAAGGTGTATGCTATCGACCACCAGCTTTGGACAGTAAAGTCAATGAAATGCTCTTTAAGAGGATTACGCAAGCTTGTAGAGGAGGAGGGACTATTATTATGGGAGACTTAAATTATCCTGGTATTGATTGGGAAATGGTGAAAGGACAGGGTAAAGGGGAGGAAGAATTTCTAGATGTCATAAATGATAATTTTTTGGTGCAGTATGTTAATAAACCTACAAAAGAGAAGGCAATTTTAGACTTAGTGCTCTGTAATGACCCAGATAGAATTAGCAATGTTGAGGTATGGGAGCCACTTGGGACAAGTGATCACTCTACTGTTAATTTTGAGGTTTCATGGGAAGTTAAAAAGGTGTCTTCAAAAACAAAAATTTTCAATTTTAGGCGAGCAAACTTCGACAGGATGCGCTCATATCTAAGTGAAATAAAATGGGAGACACTCCTGGACTGTGAGTCTGTAAATGAGATGTGG